CATGAACGGCTGCCATTTTGATACCTTAGACATCCTCCTCAGTGAACCTGGAACCCCTTTTTCACAGCTGACATCTGACATGTCATAGCAGGAGAAGCATGGGTGTAATTAATAACATCACTGACATCTCAGTTACTTGTGCTGAGCTATTTTCACAGCGTTGGTGTTTGTGCATGGCTCACTGACACACTTATGCAACAGTGTTATTAGTAACGCCTGTGTTTTTCCTGATATGACAAGTAAATTTTGGATTGCACCTTCATTGGGTTAGAAATGCCTTGAGCGTCCATTCTCCATCCTTCTGGTAAGTAGTAGAACACTAGGTTCAACAGAACAAATAACTAGTATAACAAATTTGCCAAGTGCGTCACAGGTATTAAAATCTCTGACGTTCATTTAGCTTTAGCTGCTGTGCACATCATTTCTAACACATACATTTGTAACTCATAATGTGGTACCGATGAAAACGTTTACACAAAGCAAAGAGAGATACCCTCCCAAAATATGGTTGAGCAAATAAATTACAACAGCTTTAAAAGTGCTTGTATGTAAGGTTTTGCTATCGCTATAGCTACCGTTAGCATACTTACCAGTCTAGAGGAAACACTGCTAATTCAGGATCAAACTTCCTTCCTTTACTCACCAAGAGCTGCGGCGGAGACGGCGTCACACCCAACCGCTCCAGTCAAGGGTAGATGTCCAAACTATCCGTCCTGTTTCATTCGTGATCGTCCCGTATTTGAAAATGAAATGCTGTGTCGTGTATAATTTGTCCCATATTTTGGTACACATTTCATGTGTAACATTTCATTTATAAACTATGTCCTCAAAGTGCTGTAAATAAGGTAATGTCAAGTAAAACCAAACCAGTTATAGCCCACAAGTGGAATGGAGAAGTTTATCAATGAGCATTAGACTGTCAGGCTCTGTGTGCTGTGTCCTGTTAAAGCGCATACCATGAACGTTTAGTCCGAACCTCAGTGGCCAGGGTACGAATCCGATCCGTGCTGCATGTCATTCTCTCTGACCATCCTCTCAAATACTAATTAAAAATCAGTATTCAGTATTGCTGTAGTCACAACATGATGATATTTCAGGAAACAGAGGACATTTCCTGTTCATGTAGGCTAAACAAATCAATACATTACATTTCTTGACTCTTGGACGAACTGCAAGTCGTCCTGGTGGTTATGAAAATGATGTGAAATTCATGTCCAAGTACACTAAATCAGTAGATTACATTTTGTCACTATCTCATGTATTCCCAAATTGCTGGGTTGGGTGTTCATCACAGCAGCATCTGTAATACCTGCTATTCTGCTAGTTTTCCATTACATTGTCCATATTTTTTTTTCACTTGTTTGTGTGTTTCACTGCCTGGCGTGTCACAACAAAGGAAGGGTTTCCCCTTTTATATTAATACAAATAGGGCAGTGACAGTTATTATCATCATCTGTTTTGATATTCTGTTGCACATGTCTTGTTCCTGACATGACTTGCTGCTGTGGACACCCAGCCAACCCCGCCCTACAGCACGCAATAAAAAAGAGACTAAACCTGGATCTGGGAACAATGTGTTGATGTCAAGAAGTTACAATGGCTCATATGTGAAGGACGTTATCCCACATAAGCCTTCTTATTAAAATGTATCAAATTTCTCAATTGATGCTGTCAGATTTTATAATTCAAAAGTCTCTATGCCCCAAGGATCATGATCTATGATAATAATTTACAGTATAATCTTTTCACATTTAATAATAAAAGTTTCATAAGTGAACGGTTGTTGTTCATCATTTGTATATGATTGGCCCGAAAGGAAACCCTCTACCAGCTCTTTATAACACAAACCTATTCCCAAGGTTGTCTGGAGTTCATTTCCCTCTCTGTTTACATCTTAAACTTCCTGCAGTCCACTGACAGCTCTCTTCACATGGGCCAAAACTAGAACAGAGGATGAGGAATGTTTGCCACACAAAAGGGAACACACACTGACCGCAATGGAGGAGGGATGGTTGCATAATCCTTCAAAAACTCTACCAAATAACTGTTGAATCCGTATTTGTGGTAGAAAGTAATATGACCATGAAAACGCTGCCGTAAACTCTTCCATAAACTCAACGTCAACCTGCAAACGGCCTTGTTGTCTTTGTGCATTTGTGGAGGTTTACTGAAGTCTTAGGAACCACCCTCATCTTAAAGTACTGCCACATTAAACTCAACATCTTTCATTTGCTGCTATGTTCACTTGCATTCTACATATACAAGAGGTTAAATATAGATCAAAGATGGCCTTTTCCAGAATTACAGCTGCATAGCATCATACTGAAACAACAGCATGGCTATTCTGTGCATTTTAATTTAACTTTATTTACATCTACTAGAGCTCTTGAAAAATGTGTATGAAGAGCCACACCCAGTACCCACTGGGTGTTGCATAAAAGAACACACACTTGCACTAAAGTCTATTTGTTTTCATTTTGGCCTACCAGAAATTATATTTATTTCAAACTATAAAGACCAGTTTTAGAAGTAGAGAATTCTGCTCTGCTTCATTTAATGTACTGATTATTGTGAAAAAAAATTCTCTTTTTATCTTAAGATTGTTCAAACAGTCAGTAGACGATCTTGTGACTGGTAACCACTGTCCATTTTCTGTATTGTGCAGGTTATGCAACCGTCTCCCCTTTGACCCTGCATGTCACATGTTAGGGTCGGGGGTTGCAGGGCTTTAAATTATGTGCAGGCGCTCGCTGTGCAGTGGTGCCATGAACCGGAGTATCGGTGTAAATCCGAAACCAGGGGCCTGACCTGACCTTTTGTCTTTAGAATAAGTTGTCCTGAGTTGGCTGCATTCCTCAAGTGGCTTTGATCCACTGGGATACAAACATGGCTGACACCGCCTTGAATAAAAACAAGAGGTTCTCAAGTGATCACTCACAATGGCCAAGACCTAAGCCACTAAAATACTAACTGTATTGTTTTAATTATACTGTCTTTACTTTCAATCAAATGCACTTGAAAAACAACCAAATCAGATTTAATGTGCTTTTTCACATGGTATCATGGAAAAAGGAAACAGAAAATAATTTGCAATCTGATTCTGAAATACATGAAAAACATTTTATAACAAATGAACTGTTCAGAGCAAAAGTATATTTTTAGGTATGACTTGTTCTTTTGTTTTTATTTATCACTAGACAGACAGACTAACTAGATTTAGTTATAATATATCAAACCTACAGCTTGGATTAAGGTCTGGCTCTCCAACATCGTCAGGTATGACGAACATTATCAAATTTACAGCTTGTTTCTAAGAAACATGACAAACTCCACCCACTTGACCCACAGATTCCCATCTGTATACTTAAAATTCAAAAGGGTTCATCGGGTTCATCTTCCAAATAGCAATATCATTAGCTAGGTACTTGTCTGTTAAGATTCCCCTTTATTCACGTCATAGTGCAATACGAAGGCAACTGGACCTGATATGAAGATCTTGAAGACGTTTCACAAGAATCTCAAGCAGGTCCAGTTGCCTTTGTATAGCACTTCGGAGCACTACTTACTTGGCAGTTCAATGATAACATTTTCAACCAATTATGGCAGGGAGATTGTTGTGTCAGAGATGAGTGTTGCAGAGGTTTGTGCTGCAACCCACACAGAGAGACATAGAGAGTCATGGCTGCTGGGAAAAACGAAGTAAACACTTAGAGCCAAAAATCCACTCACGTCAAACCCTCTGACCTCATTTCTAATGTTGACAATTTAGAGGATTATTGTTTGGCCATCACGTCAAATGTGGACTAAAATAGAACCCTGTGTGTACAAGGACAAACGTATCTACTGTACGTCTAATATACAAAGGCTCAGTCAAAGATTAATTTGATTATGTGGCGCAACAACATCTTAGTCTGTGAGGATAGACTTTGTACATCTGAGGAGGTCCCAGAGGCAAGAACTGTGTCCACTAAACATCATATAGGTAAAGCATACTGACACACAGTCAGACAGAAATAAAGGTGTAAGGTAACTTGTATGATAATTGTGCAGGCACAAACTGAATAAAGTATTACAAATTTCAATAGGGCACAAAGGCAGCAATAAGCCACTCCGGCTCTGACAGGTTGTAACAAACCCATGCACACACTATAAAGAGATCACACTGTACTTTCCACAAAATAATTAAATAATAAGTAGTGTGAAGGAAGATATCATTGAAGTCATGTTTTAAGTTGTGTAAAGTGTCCCTGAAGCTAGTAAACACTTTTCTTATGAGCGGTAGCAATAATGTCACATTTTGCATATTACATAACCATCCGTCATCAACAATTTGCAACTCTTTTGAACTACTTATTCTGGCAAAAAAAAAAAACATAGCAATTCGTTGTTCATATTTCGGGGAATATGCAGTGCATGACATAAAGAAAAAGTTTGACATTTTCCTCCTTCAGCTCTGACTTTAATGTTGACGTGATGAATAAGCTGACTTTCAGAGGACACACAAGTTGTATATGTCTGCATGAAAAGCAGTCGGACCAAATTATTCCCCTGCATGCAAACCCGACCGCATTGAGGCAGAGCTTGCTTATACCAGCACAACACCTGAATTTCCATCTGAAACAGATGTTCTTTTTTTCTCTTTTTTCATTGCATAACGCTAGTAATCCAACATAAACTCTTCTCTTGGCTGCCTGGTTTCAAGTAAGCTCCAATTGAAAGTTTAATTCCACACAGAAGGCTCTTCCCGCGCTTTAATATTTAACTGTACTTTACGGGTTTGTGACGTGGAGTCACTGCCGCTTTGACTCAGTGTTTTTGTGTCTTTGCCTTTTTTTTTCGAAAGTCCGGCGGAAGCCAAAAATGGATGCAAGTCTTTAGTCATTAACAAATGAATGAATGTGAACACGTCCAGCTCATAAGCTAGTGAGCTTTTAACCAGGGGTCAATGTTTGATATACGATTTCAACACCGAAACTGTGCTGAAAATTGGAAGCATTCGATGACATATTCCATGCTTTATTCATACACTTGTTACATCCACCCAGACATGTTACGGTGACACAACAGTGAAACCAGATCATGTACACTCTATGGTCACAGTGCAAAAACTCAACCCTCATTTTGCACGCATTTTTTCAGGGGTAACTGTAGGGAACAAATAAACAAAAGGCCAGTGAACAAGCCTAAACAGCAAACATCATGTTGGCAAAAAAGTCAAATATGTCTTCAGAGGTAATTTCCTGATTTGCCTAAAGTTGCGAACTGGAGATTTATGGCGAATCCATTTCAAATAAAAAGCCACATGCACTGTTGTAATTCTAGAACATAGTGTTGCTTAACCGGTCCCAAAATAGAATGACAGAGAGAGAGTCTTAAATGAAAACAGTAAATCAAGCCAAAGTCCTAATTGTCTTCAGACTTTTTGTGAGCCTCTAGTCTTTGGCAAACTAGCTGCACCGGCAGATGATTTTTTTCCAGTGTTTGCGGCTGCATTAGCCATTAGCACAAGTATGATTGAGCTGCAGTAGCTGACCCTGCAGCCTCTTTCCATTGACATGCACGAAGCGTTCAGGTGTCTGGGAAGGAAGCATAAAGACTGTCTCTAATTATCTTGTGCAAAAGAGCCAATAAACACCTGTCCCTCTCCTCTTTACATTACATTAAACAAATGTCCTCTTCAGTCGATAACGCTACGCATCCCTCCAGCCTCTAATTAAATGCAGAATGCATTTCAGACAGGCAGCATCGATCGGGACCATCGGTTTCACATAGAATCAGTTGTTTTGACACAGAGCACCAGGAGACACCACAGTTTCATGTGTAAAAGAGAGCAATGGGGAAGACACTGTGTTTACTCTAGTGCTATTTGATCTGTGGCGGTGGTTCTGGGCCAGAGCTGAGTCTCTCTCTCCTCTCAACGATAGATGGATGTGAGCCTGGTCTACGCACCAGGGAAGCCACATCATATCTAGTTACACACAGGCTGCACTGACTGGCTGCCAATCTGTCTGAAGGGAAACGCTACTAGGACAAACTGTTTTTCTCTGGCAGATTCCAATCCACTGGCAACCAGCTATTATTACTTCACTATCATTAGTGGTCACCCTGTTTTTAAACTTTTGGAAAATAAAAAAAAGTTTGTGTACTTACTAACATTGAATTTTTACTTCCTAACAATGAGATTTGTCTTTCCTACGTCTGAGGAGCCAACATGCCAAATTAAAAGTAGCTTTGTCTGAAGTGGGCTCACTGCAACATTGTGCTGAATTTGACAAATCACATGCCTGTCAGACCGACCTCGTAAACATAAACAAGGCTCACAAAGCCGCACAGAAATCAGCATACATGCGAATAAGTGTTGTGATGGAGTTGCTCCAACTTCAGAAAATGAAATCATCCAGGGTGTTGTTACAGACATCTCATCTGTCTTCCCTGACTGGGTTTCCACTGAATAAATGTCTCCATTACATAGAATATATAACCTTCAAAACACGACCGTAAGGGGAAAAAAAACTCCAAATTTGGCCCACTCTGATTTCTGTGGTATTCCCCTTCAACTGCAGTGTGTTAGTGCCTTAGGCATTGGGAAAATTAAGCAGCAACAATTTAGTATATACACATTACATATGTAACTCTACATTCATTACTCATTCTTAACAAATAACTTGTTTCTGACACACCCAGATACTGTATTTGAATGAATTTTTCCTTCCAGTAGTCTTTCTCTGATGGGTGCCCATAGGTGTCAAATTCTAAATAATGAATCTCTTTTTATTGGTTCAAACTCCTGAGACAGTGGTTTTTATGTACAGACGGGTGACTAATTAAAGTAAAATCCTGGAAAATGAGTGGAGAAACAAGATGACAATGCCCCCATCCATTGGGCATTAGGGTGTCACTGACTGTTTTGATGAGTATGAAAATGGAAATTGTATGCTATGGCATTTGCAGTCACAAGATCTCAACCCAATTGAACAACTATGGGAGATTTTGGAGCAACATGTTAGACAGCACTCTCCACCATTATCATCAAAACACCAAATGAGGGAATATCTTTTGAAAGAATGCTGTTCATCCCTCCAGTAGAGTTCTAGAGACTTGTAGAATAGACCAATAGACCAAACACCTTATGTTGGTTCTTCCTTTAAGTGTTAACCGTCTGTATGTCTGTGTTGTGCATGGAATGAACAAAAAACAAGTATGTCAATGTATTGTATTATGTAAACATAAGGTTTATTGCAAATGTGCAGTCGTATCCAAACACCATAGTGAACAACCGTTTCCAGGATACTGTACAGCAACAATACCGTTATCTTTACAAAACACATAGAAACTTTAGCACTAGCTACAAACAAGACTTCTCCCTGTGAAGTTTTACACATGGTCCTGGTTTGCTCGACTCCTGTTGTTGTTGAAAACAAAAAACAAACAAAAAAAAAAAGGCGAAATCTTTGGTAGCTAGAAAACAACAACAACAGAGTGGAAACGTGTTCCTCTCTTACTACGGACAGGCACTGTTGTCATGCCATCGTTTTTCAAGTTGGCATCTGAGCATTTAAAAACGGACCAGATACTGGACGACGCTGCTAAAAATCAGGAGTGCATGTGCAGCGAGAAATGCAGGGGGTCTGATTGCTCACTCATCTCCACTGCCTTTACCTCAGGACGTTTTTGACTGTTATGTACATTGTAGTTTTCCTTTAATGTGAAGAGCTAGGCAAACTAGGTGCGCAGATATGCCTGACGCCCCAGCATACAAACAAAATCTTTTAAGACCACTGTACAATGCTCCTATTTTACAACGACTGATTTTTGTTCAGAATCACAAAAACAGAAGATATAGCAGGATTAATTTCCCCCAAAAGCAGCAAGCCCCAACTGCAGACAATACAGGATTACATTATCTGAATCATTACAGTATACTGATCAGTCTACTGCAGCGGTCCACCAGCTCTAATAGGCTATACTGCATTAACCTCCACCTCTCTTGCCTTTAGCTTATCCTGTTGATTATTCGTGTTATGCATGAACAAATGTATATGAACACATGAGTAATACATCGTAGGTACAGGAAAAGTCTTCGTTATGTGGCTGAAACGTGTGGCTGGGAGTCCTTGAAACTTGTATTTTGTGACCGGACAATTCTGCACGATGGGGCTTTTCTGGTTGAGACTTGGAGGACCGTCTCGGATGGGTCTCCTCTGGGCGAGCAGGGAGCAAACTTCCCCCGCACACTTTCCAAGTTAGCACCTGCAGGGCCAGCCCGATCAACACCTCCTCACCCGCCCCTCTCTTGGGCAAAGGGTGTTTGTTGGAAGGGTTTGGCTAGGCAGGGAAAGCCCCCCACCCCACCCCTCTGTCTGTAAGCAAGCGCTCGTCGGTGACTAGTCAGCCCTCTCTCTATTCTTAGCGCTTTTGTCTACAAAGAGAGACTACGACAAAGAGTTGGACGGTATCAGAGGACGGGCCTGACACCGCACCGGTCAGAGCATCTTAAGTTCTGTTTTGTGCTTATCAGTGTCAGCAGTTCTTTTGTGTCCCATCGATCATTTACAGCCCTGATGCTTCGCCTTCATTATTTCGAAGGGATCTCAGCGGCGATTTTGTAATACTTTCATTCAAATGGAGGTCCATTACTGTAAGGAGACAGTGGCTCTGCCCGCCCCAAGGCAGAGCCACTTATACAGCAGAGCCAGTGCTGAGGTTGCAGGTCTTCTGCTGCTGCTGTTGCTGCTGGTCCGGGGTCACCTGGGCACTCTGATTATCCAGGGGTAACAGCACATCTGTCGGGATGCGAGACTGGAACTTCTCCAGCTGTTCTGGACTGGCCAAGTTCTTCAGCAGGTAGTTCTCCCTCTCGAGCTGGTTGTTCTTCTCCGCCAGCTCTTTGATCTGCTCTTTGAGGATCTCCACCTCCTCACGCACAGCATACATCAGGTGGTTCTTGACCAGATCCTATCATAACAAAGAGGAAGAGATGGATCAGTTTAGCTAGAAAAACAGATCCAATCTTAAGACCTGTCAGGCTGATCTGCTTGGTTGCACCTCTGACAGTTTGCTGTCAGGATATCTACTATTATGTCTGTTTACCTGCATGGATCTCTTGTGAAATACTGTATACAGTAAAGTATACATGATACAACATTGACACAAGGGTGTTTTCAATAATTCTATGCTGCCAAAATTTTCATCAGTCCCTGTTTTTTTTTTTTGGACTTCTTACTGTCAGCTCCTGCACTTGTTTTCTACCTTGTCACATGAATAAAGCAGAAAGCAGCCAGTGCTGCCTTCACATGACAGACTTCCCAGTGCATTCATAGATAGCTGGTTTTGTGCTGAATGCATTGGGGGAAAGGGAATTTTGGGGAGGTCAGTAGTTTATAACTGATGTACAAATCAGTTTCTTTCAGGACGTAATCTAGAGGTCAAAGAGGCCATCTAAAAAAGGTCACAGTTTAGATCCTTGTAATGTAATGTAGCTCTACTAGTACCTTGTCTTTTTTTTTTTTTTTTTCAAATCCATTTGAATAAAAGCATCAATTCATGGTTTAATTGCTAATTGTGTATTTTAGAATTCAGTCAATGGAGATTTGAGCACAGATTGTTTCAAAGGACATGCATGTAGTGTATAGTGCAGGCTACACACTGTCTTTGACTGGTGTTTGTGTGTTATCTCAGCTTACCATCGCCTGTTCAATCTTGTTGTCGATGGCCACAACGCTAGCACCAGAGGCACTGCAGAAAAGAAGAGAAAAAAAAGGCCGTAAATGAACTGTTCATATCCACAACTTAAGTTAACTTCAGCTCAATTCCAAACTGTTCACAAGAGGTATAATGCTGGTGTTTCCTGAATTCACTGGTCCATGACAGTGAAACAGAAAGCTTGCAGAACAGAAAGGAAAACTGTTTACCCAGCTGTTATCTGGTTTCTTTTTTGTAAAGTATAAACTGCATGTTGAGAGTTAGATTGGGCTTTTATTTAGGTTACAGTACAACAGCAGTGCATGAGGCTGTGGCCAAGTGAGAGCAGATAACTGGTCAAAGTCCAAATAAACAGCAACAGAAAGACAGCTAGAAAGACAGCTGGGCAGACAGCATTTAGGGACATTTGGTCATTACAAACAACGTTAGACACTGCACACATTTATTATGAACCGCCATGTGAAAATACAGTATGTGGAGGCCTGCGGCAGAATGAGAAAAATAGACTCGTGCTCGGTCCGGTTTCTAACAAACCAAACGGATTTGTAACGAAATACTGTGTTCAAGCGTGTGGTGGCTGAATCGCATAATTACCTGTTGTCAAGTTTGACCGATACAACGTCTCCTCCGAGTAGCGAGGAGAAGAAGGAGATGGAGAAGTTATGCAACTGGTAGACGGCCACCTCCATTGGTGTTTTAGCGAACATCTCCGTGCTCATGTTGAGTACCAGACTCGTTTGGATTATACTTCTCGCCACGTTTGCGACTGGTTGGTTCAACTATTAAGTGTATATCCGGATTTGTTCGGTCTTTAGTAGCGATGCACTAACTCGCGCGCAGTGCTGTGTCGGTGTGTGAAGCTTCGCTGGTTTTTACTAGCGACTGTCTGATGCTATTTCTGCCACCGGCAGCTATTTGAATGGCTGGCTTGCTGACGTCATCTGACGCGTGCATATATTAGTCAAACGAGTTGGCGGGTCAGGTTTTATGGTTCGTTCTTGTACCGTAGGAAAAACCTGTATTTTAGAACTGGACCGTGTAGCAGTGTGATAAATATACCCCCACGCCAACTTTTTGCATAATAAACTCGGATGACGAAATAACAAAGCACGCTTGGTCACGCACTACAACTCAAGTACTTACGAGGTCCGCTCTTGCTGTTTTGTGACACTTTTATTTTACTGTTTAGGGGATGTTTTTTTCCTCTGTGCTGACGCCATTGTGCAGAATAAAGATTAAAATGTGGGCTAACACATAAAGCCATTAAATAAGATGCGATCATGTGTACAGCCTAGAAACATAAACTGCATCATATAGGTCAATGCATTAATTTCACAGGTACTACTGTATTTTACAGAAAGAAAAATACTTAACTACATCGTTAATTTACTTTTATTTTAACTCAATTTTTATGTCAGGACCTTTTGTCTCAACCAGTTAATTTATAAGCAAAACAAAAGTCACTGGAACGGTGCATCTTAGGATGCATTTTAGCCTGTTTAAGTAAACAGAATTTGTTTTCGAAATAACGAGCGTGAGAAGGGCATTTGAACGCAGCACTCCATCTGCCCCGCTTCTGAACTTCTCGTCTGCCACAGACCGAAATTCATCTGTTCTCATTGCAACAACATCATAACAACCAACAGAGCAATTCTTACCATACCATGTCTGCACAAATAAGTCACTCGTGTTGCTAATGAATTAAAAACAAGACTTGAAATGTCGCATACCATGAGGTTTTGTCCCATCTGATTTTTACTAAACTTATTTAACAGGATGTTTTAGAATCTGATGTCTTACACATTTTTTATTCATCAAGTCTTGGTTTTTCAACTGAAAATATTTACAACCTAAAATCACTGCAAACTGTCCTTGATTTCTTACACGATAATGACAACATTTTGCTCCCATCTTTTTATTGTTGTTTGTTACAGTAGGCTATAACGGAATGTCCTGCACCCTCCTCACATATGCACAGGTCCTCTGCATAGGTACTTTTCCATCCGTTCTCCCGGTAAATTTCCCCTCAGTCTATATTTGAACTCTATCGGTCTCTAGTGGTGAAAACGTATAATACAGTGGCCCGCAGAGGACAGTATTCAGCTCTGTTCCTACACAGTGTTTACTAAGGAATTTTCCATAAACCTTTTCCTGGCTTCATAATTTCATAGTTCCAGCAACTCCAGGTTGTTTTCCTGCTTAGAAAACATATGGGAAATTCTCAAAGGACACTCAAGGACATTTATTGATTTAATACAGTTCATATGCCACAGTACTACTCCCTTTTTTCTTTTAGTTTTTATCGCTCTGCAGTTGTGTTGTGTGGAGTAAACAACAATAATAATAATTAATAATTTAGTTTATTACCTTGAATTAATAATTTAAGGTAACACAGACACGTATTTGTTGTGTATACCACCACAGTTATGTTTAGTATCAGTATCCAGTCTGTCTGCTGGTGTATGACCTCCTGCACATCAGATAGTCTTTTGAACTTGCATGTTACCGCATGTGAAACAGGTGCACTGAGCCTCATGCAAAGCTTAATAAACAATTTAGGGTAGAAACACTCCACAGAAGACACAGAGAAGAACATAGGCAACCCGCTGTTATCTTTTTCTCTTTTTTTTCACAGCATTTTCCACTGAGCACTGACAGTTATTGAGCAATAGACCTTGTTTTCACTGAGGCGTTCATGCAGGTTTTAATAGCTTGAATGTAATTGCCCGGCGCCTCTCAGCTGTCACATTATGTTCCCTTTTGTTGTTACAATTATCTGATTCAATACTGATATTACGCTACAAATTTCTATTAGAGGGCCTCTATTGCAAAATAATTTTTCCTCCAAAACACCAGCGACCCATAGAACCTTATCGGCTTATCAAAAAAAACAAAAAAAAACTTTTATGTAACTTCCCTGCTGAATGGTCCTCGCATCCAACAATAGTATGCTTAAAATACTCATAAGCCCATAAAATTCACATTTTTTCAGCTTTTTATTAGCTCTATTTTCTTATAATAACACAATAAAGTATAAGTGATGAATAAAGTCCACACGTTTTTAACTCACAACTCTCTGTAGTAAACCAAATTCCTCGGTGCATGGGCAAGGTCTGTCACGTTTTTTGGAGAAAAAGGAGTTCTGTTACGTAACAAAACAATTGAGATCGGAAAGGCTGACTTTTGGTGGGCCTAACAAGGCTAAGCAGAAAGCACATTGACTGGGTATTAGGGCCCATAGTGCCTGTCGTCTCAGATTTCGTGCTGTGACAGTACAACTGCCAGGTTTAATAGCAGGCCCTGTTCTGGTGACGAGGGGCTGAGTTACCTTGCCCTGCTGTGATAGTCCCTTTTAGGAGGGGCGAGTCACACCGATTACCTGCGGCTCAGCTGAGATGCACACAGCAGACAGTGGGGGGCCTTTCTGCACTGGTCAAGTAAAATACACCTAATGAGCCACAGACAGCAAAATGATGACAGTGTAAACTAGGATGCTCATAACCTTCCTGCTTTATTCACTGTTCAACAACAGCTTCAACACAAATCTTAACAAGACAAAGACATTTAAACACAATGTTTTAGTTTAAATTGTAGCAGCATGCTTGTAAACGTTTCAGTGCCACAGATATTGACCTATCCTACCTTTACAAGAAATGAAGTCCCTCATATTTCGGTGGAACACTTACTGCCTAACCATGTCAGTGAGTCACTCTAAATCTAGGCTTTGGGCCACGGTTTCCATCAGATGTCCCCTGCACAAGAGCCAACCGCATTATATAATACTGTGATTCATCTGCACCAAAGGCTGAAGAGAATGAGGCAGAGACATGCCGCCAGCCTCCTAGCTTTTGTTATGAGCAGCCTTTTGGGGGATTGACGCACAAAATTTAAGATGTAAACAATACAGCTCAATAAAAAAAAAAAAAACAGCATGATCAAATTCAAAGAGAAAAAAAAACAATAGTATTGGTTTGAGATCACTTCTTGGGCAAAAGGATGCTTTTTCTCTTCTTTTCACTGTGTGTCCCATCTGCACTCTCACGATTAGGAATGCATGGCGTGTATGAGGGTGTGGCCTGAGAATACAGGGCCGCCATAGGCATCAGCCAGAGGCTGTCTCAGAGGAAGCTGTCAGTGTGGGCAACAGGACTCGTTACAAACAATGAATACTGAACACCAGGACAGCCAGAGGCAGTCAATTTTCACATCAACAAGTCAAGCACGGCGGCTAACAATGTGCATATGAGTGCAATGAATCACCATTAGTGGAAATTTAGACAACTTTTAACTACAAGATCATCAGGGTTTACATCAGAGAAATGAGATGTGTTACTATGTCAGAAAAGCTCTTAAAACAGTAGGAGTTAGTAAGATTGAAAATGAAGAAAAGTTTAACAGTTTGCTGCTTCAAATGAATGCAGAGATTTGACCATACACTGATACACACTGAACAGAGCTTTAGCATGAGCCTTTTCATGACAAATACTGCACCCACAGTTTTATATCATTTAGACACTGACACACAGCCGTTATCATCCGTCTTCTCCTGAATTGTCTTTAATGTGCACATATGTCACTGTCACACGTCACTGTCATGCCAAACATCCACTTACACACAAGATAAACTCTCTGACTACCCCCTGCTGCCCCCACTTACCGCCGATCTGGCCTCTTGAACAGACTCGGTGAGTAAGGGGGAGAGTAGCTCATAGCTCTCTCGGGATAGCTGAAATGCTGGTAGTGACAGCAGTATCTCTGGGAGGGTTCAGCCAAACGGAGGGCGCATACCATCCTGGGAGAAGGCGGCCTAGCCCCAAAAGAGGCGAATTCTGCGGGACGCGTCTGCGACTGTCCCATCTTGGCTTCCAAATGAAGGGGCTGTTCAAGAGGCAGCAGCCCTTTGACTGTTTGCTCACTGTTCTGCTGTTGTTTGTTCTCAACAACTGTGTTCTCACAGCACAAAGAGACAATTGAGCACTGATACCTCTGGATATGCAGCCATAACTGTGAGTGCCATGCTCAGACTGGCACTT